TACAAGAGTCAAGCAGTGGCGAAGCGTCCTGGCTCGCATATAGGCCTACCAAAGAATGTTCTTAGAACCTTTACTGGTTTCAACGAAATGTTCTTAGAGCATTTCTGGCTGGGACTGTCTACATAAGGCTTATGTTGTAACAACATTGTTTTTGTTCTTAGAACGTGTTTGGGTTCTAAGAACATAACGTGATAGGCCTGTAGAAATGCCGGGACGGTCGGCCCCTGCTCAAGAGAACTGCTGCGCTACACCCTCCTGCCCCAAGTCCCCTCCTCGTGCAGTCCGGGAAGTGCCCCCCCTTTGACAATCGACGAGCACCTTGTGGACTTGCCGTCCTGGCGGTATCCCCATTTTGCAGATGAGTCTCATTGACAACATGAGCCGTCCGCAGCTGCATAATTATTCCGCAATGTCGAATGTTGTGTCGTACAGTTGGAATGAAGTCTCGAGCGGAACCCCCATATAAGAAAATGTTCGCCCACCAGTCGTGTAACACTGATACGTGTGTGTGTTGTTGTTGCTGTTGTTGTTGTCGCTGTTGCTGTTGATGTTGCTGTTGTTATTGCTGCTGTTGCTGTTGTTGCTGTTGAACTCTCACTTCTGAAGAATAATTATTGTTGATCCCCACTCACCGGTGCATACTGCTTTTTCTGAATCAAAGTGTGCCCCTCGACGCTCGCACCCTGTTTTTAGACAGGGGAAGTCTTGGTGCTCAAACTGGGCCCCTGGCCCCTCTGATTACAACAACAACAACAACGGCTCCCGCCTGAGACTTCTTCCAAATAACTCAAGACCCCTGCTACTGAGACTTCCTCACAATCTACTCAGGATCGGTGCTCCAGCCTATGATTTCCACGCAGTTTAGTCAGGACCGCCGCTCCCATCGGAGACTTCCTCACAATTTACGCAGGAACGGCGCTCCCGCTTGAGACTTCCTCGCAATTGAATCAAGACTTCCTCGCAGTTGAATCAAGACCCCCGCTCCCGCCAGATAACACTTCGCACTTTCTTCAGGAATTGCGCTCTCGCCTGTGACTTCCATGCAATTTAGTCAGAAATCGCGCTTCCGACGCTCAGGAAACACGCTGCGCCAAGGACGCCGTTACAATTTACTTCGTAATCGCGCTCTCGCCATACTCAGGCATCCCGCTTGAATGTCCCACCCGTCCGAGATTCCCGTCAGGGGATCGCCCGCCCGTCGTGGGCTCCCGCCCGAGACTTCCCTCAGGAACGGCGTTTTCAACTAGGACTTCCTCGAACGTTCACGCTCTTACCTTCCTGCTCCTCCTCCGTCTCCCTCCTCCCTCCTCCTCTCCTCCCTTCTCTCTCCCTCCTCTCGTCCCTCATCCATATGCCTCTCTGCCCTATCCCCTCTCCATCCTCTCCTTCCTCCCTTCTCCCTCCCCATCTCCTGCCTCCTCCCTCCCTCTTTCTTGTTCTCTCTCTCTCTCTCTCTCTCCCCTCTCTCTCTTGCTCTACCTCTCTTACCTGTCTTTTTTGTTGATGTTCACTCTCTCTCTCTTTCTCTCTCTGCCTCTAGTCAACCGCCCCCCTCTTCGCTGCTTCTCTCCTGGCGTTTTCCCTCTTCCTTCGTCCCTCCCCCTCCCTTCCTCCCACGTTCCCTCGTTCTCCCCCTCCTCGTTCTGCAGGGCCCACTTCAATTCCAATGGCGGGCACATGTACGCCCACGAAGGACTGTCCGCCCGTTCAGGTTTGCCCGCCTGTCTAGGCCCGCCGCCTCCCGCAAAGAGAAAGACTCCCTCCAAAGGGGGTGTGATCGGAAAGAAAAGGGGCGGGTATCCAGGGTGTGGGGAACTCTTTTGAATGACACGCGGGCAAGTAAGAGCGAACAGTTTTAGAACGATTGTTGTTGTTGCTGTCGTGTTCGAAATCCATGTTGGACACGGCTTGTACTCCATTCGTGCAAGTGTTGGGCTTCCTAAGACGAGTGCAAGTGGCGCCATGTCGAGAATCATGTTCTGAGAATTGCATGTGCTGCATGTCCTCAATCAGCTCGTATGTATTGGACATGTCAAGCTTCGAAATCACGCAACGTGACGCAGTTTCAGAAGAGATGCCCAGCCAGCTATGGCGACCCGCTTGCTGGTGCGACAGATCGACGCTATCTGTAAGGGAGGGGATCGAGGAGATGGAGCAGACGGAATAGAATGTGGATGGCGGGGGGGAAAGAGAAGCAGGTTAGTGGAGGAAGAAGGGGGAGTATTAATCTATAAAAAGGCGCAGGGAGAAGCTGCAGGAGGAGGGGGAGGAGGCAGGGGAGGAGGAGGAGGAGGAGGGGAAGGGGAAAGATGCTGGCGGAGGAAGAATAGGAAACACACGACGAAGGATAATAATAATAAGAGGTGGAGGGAGGAGCGGCAGGAGGAGGAGGAGGACGTGGATGGCGGATGGGGAAGGGGATCCATGATAGCGGAGGAAGAAGAGGAAGACGAATCAGAAGACGAGCGCTATTAATAAGACGAAGAAGAAGAGGTGGATGGAGGACCGGGAGGAGGGGTAGGATGAGAAGGAGGGGAGGGGGAAGAAGAAGTGGAGGTCGAGGGACGAGAGGCACGAGGAGGAGGATGAGAAAGAGGAGGAAGGGGAGGAGGAGGAGGAGGAGGAGGAGGAGGAGGAGGAGGAGGTGCACCGAGGCGTCGATGCTACGAATCGCCGTCGGAGGATCAACAGTGCAGTGCAAGTGCGGCTCCCAACGGCCGCGAGAGACCTCAGCGAAGGACGAAGACGAGGCGAACGCCCTCTGGGGACCCTCACGCCCTCGCCCCCGCCCCCCCCCAACTATCGGCATCGGCCGACAGCACTCCTCACTCAAAATGCCGCCCACGATGCCGACGAACACCAAGGAATCCTACAACAAGATTCGAAGACGACGGTCCCGAGCGCTGACTCGTCCACGTTCAAGCCTTGCTCGCGCATGGGCGCAACAAGGCGGCCGCGGACACGTGCAACACGTGAGACTGAGGCTCGGTGGGTCGAGCACTATGCGGCCGTGTATCGAGGACAGGTCGTGGACGATGCGCAGCTCCTCACCGAGCCTGGGCCTGACCTCCCTCATGCGGCCATGGATGTTCGTCCTGCTGCCACAGAGAAGTCCTTCGCCATGCTCAAAAATAAGGGCGTGGGGCTCGACGACATCCCGAGTGAGCTACTGAAAGCAGGCGGCTCCCCACTGGCCATCCTCTACAGCGGCATCAACCAGCGCGTTGTCAACAATGCTACGTGGCCAGTGAGCTGGCGCGGTGGTTCCTTCACCAACGTCTTTTCAAAAAAAGGGCAATCCACAGGATTGTGATAACCATCGCTCTATCCTTCTAGCTGATTGCGCTGGGAAGGCACATATTGGACGTATCAAAGATGTTTTTGAACCTATCTACGTCGCGCGGATGCCAGGGTGCCAGCACGGCGCTGTACCAGGTAAGGGTACCGATCTTGCTTCGCATTTGGTGCGATCGGCAGCCGCAGCTGCTGCGATGCTCAACGATTCCGTCTGCATCCTTTTTGTGGAGCTTGTCAAGGCGTTCGAGAAAGTGGTGCGGCAGATTGTGTATGGATGGGGGCCCTCACCGCCAGCGGACAAGACGGCGTACCTCCTCGGACTGGGGGTCTCCTCATCTTCGGCGCAGTGGATCTTGCAGTACCTCGAAGAGCGGGGCCACCTGCAGCAGTGGGGTGCTGATCCAACTGCCTCGGCCCTTGCTGAATCCCTCCACCGAGGAGCTTGGTTCAAGGTCAACGGCAGCCAGGTTTCCATCACAAGCAGCATTGGAGTAGGCAAGGATGCAAGCTCGGCACCTTCACCTTCAACTGCGTCTACAGCATCGCCCTCGATTTCCTACGGTGGGAGTCGGAGAAGGCCGGCATGACGTTTACTGTTGCGGCGCCCGCAGGCGCATTTTGGGCAGTGACTGACCCCGCCAATGGGGATGCAGAGCACGTGGTGGACGTTACCTTCGTGGACAACGAGGCGATTATCTTGCTATCCCGCTCGGCGCACGCACTCAACGCTGCCAGCGAGACGCTGTTCCAGATTGTCACACCGGTGTTCGGCAATCTCCACCTTGAGGTCAATTGGACGCCCGGCAAGGCGGAGGCCCTCCTAGCCTTCAGGGGCCACGGAGCGGTGGCAGCCAGGGAGCGGTGGAGGCAAGCTGACGGTACGCTTGAGGCCACAGCTGTTCACGATCGTGCAGTCGTACAAACATCTTGGCACGATGACCGCTGTACGGAAATCCCCACATCAGCACTCCGCGCAAGAAGAGTTGTTGTGCAGCCTCTTCAACTCCCGCTTGTTCTTCAACGTCCACGGGCTCGGGATCTTGTTGCGTACAACAACTGCTACATGCGACCCATGAGACGGCTGGTCGGCGATATGCGGCTTTCTCGCGATGTCGAGTATTCCGACTTGGAAATACGACGCTTGCTGAACATGCCGTCCATCGAGTGCCTCATCGCGAAAGCGAGGCTACTGTATGCACGGCGCCTCCTCAAGTTGCGGCCTCGCGCGCTACTCGGTCTGCTGCACCTCCGGAAAGGTGATCGACGATTACCTTGGATGCAGTGCCTGGCCCACGATTGCGACACGCTGCGGCTCCACCAACTCGTGCCCGAGCACATGGCTCCGTTGTTCGACGACCCTGGCGGATGGCACGGGTTGGTGCTGTCAGAATGTTGGATTGGCCTTTTTGACAAGCTTTTTGTTCGTCGAGAGCGTCACTGACCGCAAGAAGCCGGCAGACGACAGCAGCTCCAGTCGGCACCTTGCCTTTACTTGCTCCCGCTGTGATTGTTATTTTGCGTCGCAACTTGCTCTGGAGTCCCATGCCCGGGCTAAACACGGATACCGCTTACTTATCAAGCGCTACGTACACGGTGCAGTTTGCCCGTGTTGCGGCACAGATTATCGCGATCGCCTCCGTCTGGTGGCACATTTGTTTGACCGTCGTAGACCTCGTTGTGACTCTTGGGGAATGGCCAACGTG